TCGCAGGTCAAGGCGGTATTGGGTCTGGCTCCTGACAGAGGAACGGCAGCCTCTCCTTGAGACACACACACACACACACCAGTACCGGTACACCGGACCTGTGTTACTCAGAGGTCAACGGAGTACCGACTGGTCCAGCTCCTGACAGAGGAACGGCAGCCTCTTCTTGAGACACGCACACACACCATAATGGGCCTACTGGACCTCGCAGGTCAAGGCGGTATTGGGTCCAGCTCCTGACAGAGGAACGGCAGCCTCTCCTTGAGACACGCACACACACCATAATGGGCCTACTGGACCTCGCAGGTCAAGGCGGTATTAGGTCCGGCTCCTGACGGGTGAAAGGCAGCCTCTCCATGAGACACACACACACACCAGCACCGGTCTACTGGACCTCGCAGGTCAAGGCGGTATTAGGTCCGGCTCCTGACGGGTGAAAGGCAGCCTCTCCTTGAGACACACACACACCAGTACCGGTCTACTGGACCTCGCAGGTCAAGGCGGTATTGGGTCTGGCTCCTGACAGAGGAACGGCAGCCTCTCCTTGAGACACGCACACACACCATAACGGGCCTACTGGACCTCGCAGGTCAAGGCGGTATTGGGTCCAGCTCCTGACAGAGGAACGGCAGCCTCTCCTTGAGACACGCACACACACCATAACGGGCCTACTGGACCTCGCAGGTCAAGGCGGTATTAGGTCCAGCTCCTGACGGGTGAAAGGCAGCCTCTCCTTGAGACACGCACACACACCATAACGGGTCTACTGGACCTCGCACGTCAAGGCGGTATTGGGTCCGGCTCCTGACAGAGGAACGGCAGCCTCTCCTTGAGACACACACACCATTGCCGGTCTACTGGACCCCGCAGGTCAAGGCGGTATTAGGTCCAGCTCCTGACGGGTGAAAGGCAGCCTCTCATTGAGACACACACACAAACCAGTACCGGTCTACTGGACCTCGCAGGTCAAGGCGGTATTTGGTCTCGCTCCTGACAGAGGAACGGCAGCCTCTCCTTGAGACACGCACACACACCATAAAGGGCCTACTGGACCTCGCAGGTCAAGGCGGCATTAGGTCCAACTCCTGACGGGTGAAAGGCAGCCTCTCCTTGAGACACACACACACACACCATAACGGGTCTACTGGACCTCGCAGGTCAAGGCGGTATTGGGTCTGGCTCCTGAAAGATTAACGGCAGCCTCTCCTTGAGACACACACACCAGAACCGGCCTACTGGACCTCGCAGGTCAAGGCGGTATTAGGTCCAGCTCCTGACGGGTGAAAGGCAGCCTCTCCTTGAGACACGCATACACACCAGTACCGGTCTACTGGACCTCGCAGGTCAAGGCGGTATTGGGTCTGGCTCCTGACAGAGGAACGGCAGCCTCTCCTTGAGACACACACACACCAGTACCGGTACACCGGACCTGTGTTACTCAGAGGTCCACGCAGTACCGACTGGTCCAGCTCCTGACAGATTAACGGCAGCCTCTCCTTGAGACACACACCCACACCAGAACCGGCCTACTGGACCGGGCAGGTCAAGGCGGTTTTAGGTCCAGCTCCTGACGGGTGAAAGGCAGCCTCTCCTTGAGACACACACACACAGCATAATGGGCCTACTGGACCTCGCAGGTCAAGGCGGTATTAGGGCCGGCTCCTGACGGGTGAAAGGCAGCCTCTACATGAGACACACACACACACCAGCACCGGTCTACTGGACCTCGCAGGTCAAGGCGGTATTAGGTCCAGCTCCTGACGGGTGAAAGGCAGCCTCTCCTTGAGACACACACACCATAACGGGTCTACTGGACCTCGCAGGTCAAGGCGGTATTGGGTCTGGCTCCTGACAGAGGAACGGCAGCCTCTCCTTGAGACACACACACACACACACCAGTACCGGTACACCGGACCTGTGTTACTCAGAGGTCAACGGAGTACCGACTGGTCCAGCTCCTGACAGAGGAACGGCAGCCTCTCCTTGAGACACGCACACACACCATAACGGGCCTACTGGACCTCGCAGGTCAAGGCGGTATTGGGTCCAGCTCCTGACAGAGGAACGGCAGCCTCTCCTTGAGACACGCACACACACCATAATGGGCCTACTGGACCTCGCAGGTCAAGGCGGTATTAGGTCCGGCTCCTGACGGGTGAAAGGCAGCCTCTCCATGAGACACACACACACCAGCACCGGTCTACTGGACCTCGCAGGTCAAGGCGGTATTGGGTCTGGCTCCTGACAGAGGAACGGCAGCCTCTCCTTGAGACACGCACACACACCATAACGGGCCTACTGGACCTCGCAGGTCAAGGCGGTATTAGGTCCAGCTCCTGACGGGTGAAAGGCAGCCTCTCCTTGAGACACGCACACACACCATAACGGGTCTACTGGACCTCGCACGTCAAGGCGGTATTGGGACCGGCTCCTGACAGAGGAACGGCAGCCTCTCCTTGAGACAGACACACCATTGCCGGTCTACTGGACCCCGCAGGTCAAGGCGGTATTAGGTCCAGCTCCTGACGGGTGAAAGGCAGCCTCTCATTGAGACACACACACAAACCAGTACCGGTCTACTGGACCTCGCAGGTCAAGGCGGTATTTGGTCTGGCTCCTGACAGAGGAACGGCAGCCTCTCCTTGAGACACGCACACACACCATAAAGGGCCTACTGGACCTCGCAGGTCAAGGCGGTATTAGGTCCAACTCCTGACGGGTGAAAGGCAGCCTCTCCTTGAGACACACACACACACACCATAACGGGTCTACTGGACCTCGCAGGTCAAGGTGGTATTGGGTCTGGCTCCTGAAAGATTAACGGCAGCCTCTCCTTGAGACACACACACACACACCAGTACCGGTACACCGGACCTGTGTTACTCAGAGGTCCACGCAGTACCGACTGGTCCAGCTCCTGACAGATTAACGGCAGCCTCTCCTTGAGACACACACCCACACCATAACGGGCCTACTGGACCTCGCAGGTCAAGGCGGTATTGGGTCCAGCTCCTGACAGAGGAACGGCAGCCTCTCCTTGAGACACACACACACACCATAACGGGCCTACTGGACCTCGCAGGTCAAAGGCGGTATTAGGTCCGGCTCCTGACGGGTGAAAGGCAGCCTCTCCATGAGACACACACACACACCAGTACCGGTTTACTGGACCTCGCAGGTCAAGGCGGTATTGGGTCTGGCTCCTGACAAAGGAACGGCAGTCTCTCCTTGAGACACGCACACACACCATAACGGGTCTACTGGACCTCGCAGGTCAAGGCGGTATTGGGTCCAGCTCCTGATGGGTGAAAGGCAGCCTCTACTTGAGACACGCACACACACCATAACGGGCCTACTGGACATCGCAGGTCAAGGCGGTATTAGGTCCAGCTCCTAACGGGTGAAAGGCAGCCTCTCCTTGAGACACGCACACACACACACACACCATAACGGGTCTACTGGACCTCGCAGGTCAAGGCGGTATCGGGTCCGGCTCCTGACAGAGGAGCGGCAGCCTCTCCTAGAGACACACACACACACCAGTACCAGTCTACTGGACCTCGCAGGTCAAGGCGGTATTGGGTCCAGCTCCTGACAGATTAACGGCAGCCTCTCCTTGAGACAGACACACACACCAGTACCGTTCTACTGGACCTCGCAGGTCAAGGTGGTATTGGGTCTGGCTCCTGACAGAGGAACGGCAGCCTCTCCATGAGACACACACACACACCAGTACTGGTCTACTGGACCTCGCAGGTCAAGGCGGTATTGGGTCCAGCTCCTGACGGGTGAAAGGCAGCCTCTCCTTGAGACACACACACACACCAGTACCGGTCTACTGGACCTCGCAGGTCAAGGCGGTATTGGGTCCAGCTCCAGACGGGTGAAAGGCAGCCTCTCCTTGAGACACACACACACCATAACGGGTCTACTGGACCTCGCAGGTCAAGGCGATATTGGGTCCGGCTCCTGACAGATTAACGGCAGCCTCTCCATGAGACACACACACACACCAGTACCGGTACACCGGACCTGTGTTACTCAGAGGTCCACGGAGTACCGACCGGTCCGGCTCCGGACAAGACAAACGGCAGCCTCTCCACATGGCCACCGGCAGTAAGTCTCCCGTCGTGTCTTGGAGGGGACCCCCGCGGCGAGGGACCCCCGCGGCGAGGGACCCCCGCGGCGAGGGACCCCCGCGGCGAGGGACGAGGGGCGGGAGAAGTGAGGAGGAGCCGGATGTTATTTTGTCAAACGAGGTTTGTTTATTTTGCGGGGGACTTGAGTTGAGGGGGAGGGGGGAGGGGGGAGGGAGGGGTGGGGGGAGGGAGGAGGGGGGGAGGGAGGGGGTGGGAGAGGGGTGGGAGGGAGGGGGGAGGGAGCGTTTGCAACACGATAAACAATGCAGAGTCGACCCCCCTTGTGTGGGCACGTGGGGAGGGATGGGGAGGGGGGGGTGAGCGGTGGGTAAAGTCTTGGGGAGAGAAGGGACACACGGTGATGTGATGGTGGTGGATGTGTGGATGGGTGGGTGAGTGGGTGATTGGGTGAGTGGTTGAGTGAGTGGGTGGGTGAGTGGGTGGGTGAGTGGGTGGGTGAGTGGGTGGGTGAGTGGGTGGGTGGGTGAGTGGGTGGGTGAGTGGGTGGGTGGGTGGGTGAGTGGGTGGGTGGGTGAGTGAGTGGGTGATTGGGTGGGTGATTGGGTGAGTGGTTGAGTGAGTGGGTGGGTGGGTGGGTGAGTGGGTCAGTGAGTGAGTGGGTGAGTGGTTGAGTGGTTGAGTGAGTGGGTGGGTGAGTGGGTGGGTGAGTGAGTGGGTCAGTGAGTGATTGAGTGGGTGGGTGGGTGAGTGGGTGGGTGAGTGGGTGAGTGGCTGAGTAAGTGAGTGGGTGAGTTAGTGGGTGGGTGAGTGAATGGTTGAGTGAGTGAGTGAATGGTTGAGTGAGTGTGTGAGTGAGCGAATGGCTGAGTGAGTTGGTGGGTGGGTGGGTGAGTTGGTGGGTCGGTGGGTGAGTCGGTGGGTGAGTGGGTGAGTGAGTGGGTGAGTTGGTGGGTGGGTGTGTGGATATGCGAGCGGGCGGGCGGGCGAGCTGCAGGCTCCCCTTCCCCGCTAGCTCACCGCCCCCCTCTCCCCCCCCGTCTCACCACCACCGCGACTCCCTCACCCCTAACCCCCCACGTCATCACTGCACGGTCTGCTCGTTGGCGTTGCTGCTGCTGCTGCTGCTGCCGCCGCCCCCGCCGCCTCCATCCTGAGGCTTCATGACGTCGGGGAGCTCCGGGGGGCTGGAGTACGGCTCGAGCCGCAGGGCCTCCCACTCCTCGTCTACTGGGGGGGGGGGGCAGCAGAGGGGGGCAGCAGAGGGGGGCAGCAGAGGGGGGCAGCAGAGGGGGGGCAGCAGAGGGGGGCAGCAGAGGGGGGCAGAGGGCAGCGGAGGGAAGAGGCGGGCCGGGTAAAACGTCAAGGCGGCGATGGCCGAGAGTGAGCGGTGGTGGTGAGCGGTGAGTGGTGAGCGGTAGTGGTGAGTGGTGGTGGTGAGCGGTAGTGGTGAGTGGTGAGTGGTAGTGGTGGTGAGTGTCTGTATGGTAGTGGTGGTGGTGAGTGGTAGTGGTGAGTAGTAGTGGTGAGTGTCTGTATGGTAGTGGTGGTGAGTGTCTGTATGGTAGTGGTGGTGAGTGTCTGTATGGTAGTGGTGAGTAGTAGTGGTGAGTGGTAGTGGTGAGTAGTAGTGGTGAGTGTCTGTATGGTAGTGGTGAGTGTCTCTATGGTGGTGGTGAGTAGTAGTGGTGAGTAGTAGTGGTGAGTGTCTGTATGGTAGTGGTGAGTGGTAGTGGTGAGTGTCTGTATGGTAGTGGTGGTGGTGTCTGTATGGTGGTGGTGAGTAGTAGTAGTGGTGAGTGTTAGTGGTGAGTAGTAGTGGTGAGTAGTAGTGGTGAGTAGTAGTGGTGAGTAGTAGTAGTGAGTAGTAGTGGTGAGTAGTAGTGGTGAGTGTTAGTGGTGAGTAGTAGTGGTGAGTGTTAGTGGTGAGTGGCAGTGGTGAGTGTTAGTGGTGAGTAGTAGTGGTGAGTGTCTCTATGGTAGTGGTGGTGGTGTCTGTATGGTAGTGGTGAGTGGTAGTGGTGAGTGGTAGTGGTGAGCGGTATTGGTGAGCGGTAGTGTTGAGTGTGGTGGTGGTGAGCAGTAGTGGTGAGCGGTAGTGGTGAGTGTGGTGGTGGTGAGCGGTAGTGGTGAGCGTGGTAGTGGTGAGTGTCTGTATGGTGGTGGTGAGTAGTAGTGGTGAGTAGTAGTGGTGAGTAGTAGTGGTGAGTGTCTGTATGGTAGTGGTGAGTGTCTCTATGGTGGTGGTGAGTGGTAGTGGTGAGTGTCTGTATGGTAGTGGTGGTGAGTGTCTGTATGGTAGTGGTGTCTGTATGGTGGTGGTGAGTAGTAGTGGTGGTGTCTGTATGGTGGTGGTGAGTAGTAGTGGTGAGTACTAGTAGGGAGTAGTAGTGGTGAGTGTCTGTATGGTGGTGGTGAGTGTCTGTATGGTAGTGGTGAGTAGTAGTGGTGAGTAGTAGTAGTGGTGTCTCTATGGTGGTGGTGAGTAGTAGTGGTGAGTGTCTGTATTGTGGTGGTGGTGTCTCTATGGTGGTGGTGAGTAGTAGTGGTGAGTAGTAGTGGTGAGTAGTAGTGGTGAGTAGTAGTGGTGAGTGTCTGTATGGTGGTGGTGAGTAGTAGTGGTGAGTAGTAGTGGTGGTGAGTAGTAGTGGTGGTGTCTGTATGGTGGTGGTGAGTAGTAGTGGTGAGTAGTAGTGGTGAGTAGTAGTGGTGAGTAGTAGTGGTGAGTAGTAGTGGTGGTGAGTAGTAGTGGTGGTGAGTAGTAGTGGTGGTGTCTGTATGGTGGTGGTGAGTAGTAGTGGTGAGTAGTAGTGGTGAGTAGTAGTGGTGTCTCTATGGTGGTGGTGCTCTATGGTAGTGGTGAGTAGTAGTGGTGGGTGGTAGTGGTGAGTGTCTGTATGGTGGTGGTGCTCTATGGTAGTAGTGGTGGTGTCTGTATGGTAGTGGTGGTGAGTAGTAGTGGTGAGTAGTAGTGGTGGTGAGCAGTAGTGGTGGTGAGTGGTAGTGGTGGTGAGTAGTAGTGGTGAGTGTCTGTATGGTGGTGGTGGTGTCTGTATGGTGGTGGTGGTGAGTAGTAGTGGTGGTGAGCAGTAGTGGTGGTGAGTAGTAGTGGTGAGCAGTAGTGGTGAGTAGCGCTCCTCACCAGGTGAGCGGAAGGCCAGTCCCACAGTAGCAGGTGCCTGTGCCCGTGCCGTCTGACTGGTGAAGCCACAGTCACCCAACGTCTTGGAGTCATCCAGCAGCAAAGTCTCCTCCTGCAACACACACACACATATACATATATATACATATACACATATATACATATATACACAGACATACACACATACATATATACATATATACACACACACATATATACACACACACAGCACACACAGATACATATATACACACACACAGACACACACACATACATATATACATACATATATACACACACACAGATACATATATATACATATACACACACAGACACACACAGATACACATATATACACACAGACACACAGATACACACACACAGACACACACACAGACACACACACAGATACATATATACATATACACACACACATATACACACACAGATACATATATACATATATACACACACACACATATACACATATATACACACATATATATACATATATACACACATGCATATATACACACACAGACACACACAGATACACATATATACATATATACACACACACACAGATACACACACACAGACACACAGATACACACACAGACACACACACAGATATATACACACACACAGACACACACAGATACATATACACACATACACACAGACACGCAGACACATATATACACAGACACACACACAGACACAAAGATACACACACAGACACACACACAGACACACAGATATATATACACACACACAGATACATATATACACATATACACACACACATATACATATATACATACACACAGACACACAACAACAACAACCGCCATTCGCCACTAAGTGGCGGTGACGTCACCACGACGCTTGTGCCAGGCTATGTGCACCCTGAGGCCACGTGAAGTGTCGAACGCCCGCTGGCAGGAGGTCACTGGGCAGACCCAGGTGCCACGGGTCGACTGACTGAGATGACTGGCTGATGCACCACCTGTGCCCCCTACTGTGCCAACCCGCTGTGCTTTAGCCACCCGGCGCTCCGCTCGTTGTTGTGAGCGTCGCTCCTCCGCCCTCCGTTGTTGTTGGAGGGCGACTACCTCCAACTGCCCAGTAGCGTCCTTCACGAGCCTCCTCCACAGAGGCCGATCTTGACACTGCTGGTACCGGTCATCGGCAAGTCCACTCAGCTCCACATCCTCCTGTACCACATCACTCCATCTCTTCTCTAGCCCATGCCGCGCCCGCTTAGCCCCCTCAATCCGGCCGAACAAAAGCTGTTTCGGCATGCGATGGCTGGGCATGCGGGCAACATGACACAGCCAACGCAGCCTTGCCTGCCGGAGGAGCTCACCGATGGGACCTTGCCCAGATCTGTCAATGATTTGTGAGCTCCTCACACAATCCAGCCTGGTTAAACCCAGGATGGATCTAGGCAGGTCAACCTAAATGTTTCTAACCGGCGAAGATGTTCCATTAAGGGGGTCCACGTTTCGCAAGCGTAGAGAAGGGAGGAATGACCGTGGCCGAGAAGACCTGAAGCTTAGTGCGGAGCGACAGACCAGGTAGCTTCCACACAGCGTTACGCAACCGATGAAAATATATTGCCGCTCGACTGATTCGGAGTGAGACCTCTGCTGTTAAAACGAAGCCGGTCATAAGCACACTGCCCAGGTATGGGAAACTCTCCACTCTCTCCACAACCGCCCCATCACTGATTGGGAGTTGTGGGGGTGGAGTGTCCGATGGTACAAAATACCCAGGCAGGTGCTTAGTTTTGGTGGGGCTGATGGTAAGGCCCCACCTCTTAGTGGCACGCTCCAGTCTCAGCAGCAGCGTCTCCAACTCCTCCTCTGAATGAGCAGCTATTACCAAATCATCAGCATACATAACGTGGTTTAGCAATAGGAAGCCATCCCTTGAACGCACCCGGGCATCGATCAGCCTCCCTTTATATCTGTACCAAATGGAGATTCCCCCGGTAAAGCTATTGAAGGCTTCACGAACTACATGGTCAAAATAGATGTTAAATAATGTGGGAGCCAGAGGACATCCCTGTCGCACCCCAAGGTGTACAGGGAATGGCTCTGACTCCTGGCCACGTAGTTTTACCCGGGCCCGCTCACCATCATGAAGGTCCTTAATGATGGCGAGCAGAGGGTCAGGTACTCCGAAAGCACGAAGAACAACCCAGATCCCAGGCCTACTGATGGTATCATAGGCCTTGACCAGGTCAATAAAGCAGAGATGTAGGTCTTGTTGGAATTCCCTACACCTCTGCTGTAGCAGACGGACAGAAAATATGGCATCTGTGCAGGACCGCCCTTTCCTGAAACCGCATTGGGGCTCCGCAAGCCTCTCCTCAGCGTGCCTGGCAAGGCGATGTTGAATAATCCTTGCCAGGACCTTTCCCGGCACACTGAGGAGTGAGATGCCCCTGCAGTTGTTACAGTCTGTGCGGTCCCCCTTCTTAAAAAGGGGGACCACCAGGGCATCCTTCCAATCCTGCGGAACCCGTCCAGTGGTCCAGACTGTTGTTATGATGTCATATAGGGCAGTCTGTGCACAAACGCCACCCTCCCTCAGCATTTGGCTTGGGAGATCATCTCTGCCCGGTGCCTTTCCTGGTCCCAGACTCTGGATCGCCTTCAGTACTTCCTCAACAGATGGCACTTCAGCCAGCCACTCACAGGGGGTGACTTCTTCCAATATTTGAGGCACCGCAGCCTCAGCAGGGTCATCCTCACTTTGTGCCACGATGTTTTTCAGGCTGAGGGATTTCCCCTCCCCCAGGACCTCACAGAAATGCTCAGCAAATCTGCAAACCTGTTCCTGGGGGTCGGAGATTGGATAGTAGTAGTAGTTGTAGTGGTAGTTGATGTGGTAGTGCAGTAGTAGTTGTAGTAATAGTTGTTGTGGTAGTTGTAGTTGTTGTTGTAGTTTTAGTTGTAGTGGTAGTTGATGTGGTAGTGTAGTTATAGTTGATGTGGTAGTGTAGTAGTAGTTGTAGTGGTAGTTAATGTGGTAGTTGTAGTGGTAGTTGATGTGGTAGTGTAGTAGTAGTTGTAGTGGTAGTTAATGTGGTAGTTGTGGTAGTTGATGTGGTAGTGTAGTAGTAGTTGTAGTGGTAGTGTAGTGGTAGTTGTTGTGGTAGTTGTAGTGGTAGTTGTAGTGGTAGTTGATGTGGTAGTGTAGTTATAGTTGTAGTGGTAGTTGTAGTGGTAGTTGTAGTGGTAGTGCAGTTATAGTTGTAGTGGTAGTTGTAGTGGTAGTGTAGTAGTAGTTGTAGTGGTAGTTGTAGTAGTAGTTGTAGTGGTAGTGCAGTTATAGTTGTAGTGGTAGTGTAGTTATAGTTGTAGTGGTAGTGTAGTTATAGTTGTAGTGGTAGTTGTAGCAGTAGTGGTAGTTGTAGTAGTAGTGTAGTAGTAGTTGTAGTGGTAGTTGATGTGGTAGTGTAGTTATAGTTGTAGTGGTAGTGTACTTATAGCTGTACTGGTAATTGTAGTGGTAGTTGTTGTGGTAGTTGATGTGGTAGTGTAGTAGTAGTTGTAGTGTAGTAGTAGTTGTAGTGGTAGTTGATGTGGTAGTGTAGTTATAGTTGTAGTGGTAGTGTAGTAGTAGTTGTAGTGGAAGTTGTAGTGGTAGTTGATGTGTTAGTGTAGTTGTAGTAGTAGTTGTTGTGGTTGTAGTAGTAGTGGTAGTTGATGTGTTAGTGTAGTTGTAGTGGTAGTTGCTGTGGTGGTACTTGTTGTGGTAGTGTAGTGGTAGTAGTGGTAGTGTAGTGGTAGTAGTGGTAGTTGATGTGTTAGTGTAGTTATAGTAGTAGTGGTAGTAGTGGTAGTGTAGTGGTAGTAGTGGTGGTGTAGTGGTAGTAGTGGTAGTTGATGTGTTAGTGTAGTTATAATTGTAGTAGTAGTGGTGGTTGTAGTAGTAGTAGTGCTAGTGTAGTGGTAGTAGTGGTAGTTGATGTGTTAGTGTAGTTGTAGTAGTAGTGGTAGTAGTGGTAGTGTAGTGGTAGTAGTGGTAGTTGTAGTAGTAGTTGTAGTGGTGGTTGTAGTAGTAGTTGATGTGTTAGTGTAGTTATAGTTGTAGTAGTAGTTGTAGTTGATGTGTTAATGTTAGTAGTAGTTGTAGTTGATGTGTTAGTGTAGTTATAGTAGTGGTAGTAGTAGTATAGTGGTAGTAGTGATAGTTGATGTGTTAGTGTAGTTGTAGTAGTAGTTGCTGTGGTGCTACTTGTTGTGTTAGCTGTATCATCAGTATCATCATGAGTAGTGACCTTGTATAGCCGCTGGTCAGCTGGTGATCGCTTCACAATCCCCCCCACCATCCGCTTGAGCTCCAGCACGGTGGTAGACTCCTTGGCGTCCGTGAAGATGGTCGTCTTGTGCCGGCGGATCATCAGAAAGACGTCCTGGCGAGCGGCACGCACACAGGCAACACGTGTGTCTCTCTGTCTCTGTCTCCCCACCGTGTGTCTCTCTGTCTCTGTCTCCCCACCGTGTCTCTCTGTCTCCACCGTGTCTCCCCCGTGTGTCTCCCCGTGTCTCTGTCTCCCCCGTGTGTCTCTCTGTCTCTGTCTCCCCACCGTGTGTCTCTCTGTCTCCACCGTGTCTCTGTCTCCCCCGTGTCTCCCCGTGTCTCTCTCTGTCTCCACGTGTCTCCCGATGTCTCTCTTTGTCTCCACGTCTCTCCCCATGTCTCCACGTGTCTCCCCGTGTCTCCCCGTGTCTCTCTCTGTCTCCACGTGTCTCCCCGTGTCTATCTCTGTCTCCCCCGTGTCTCCCCGTGTCTCTCTCTCTGTCTCCACGTGTCTCCCCGTGTCTCTCTCTGTCTCTGTCTCCCCCGTGTCTCTCTCTCTGTCTCCCCGTGTCTCTCTTTGTCTCCACGTGTCTCCCCGTGTCTCTCTGTCTCCACGTGTCTCCCCCGTGTCTCTCTCTGTCTCTGTCTCCCCCGTGTCTCTCTCTGTCTCCCCGTGTCTCTCTTTGTCTCCACGTGTCTCCCCGTGTCTCTCTCTGTCTCCCCGTGTCTCCCCCGTGTCTCCCCGTGTCTCTCTCTGTCTCCACGTGTCTCTCTCTGTTTCCCCCGGTGTCTCTCTCTCTCTGTCTCCCCCGTGTCTCTCCGTGTCTCCCTCTCTGTCTCCCCGTGTCTCTCTCTGTCTCCCGTGTCTAACCGTGTGTCTCCCCCGTGTGTCTCCCCCCTGTCTCACTCTCTGTCTCCCCGTGTCTCTTTCTGTCTCCACGTGTCTCCCCCGTGTCTCCCCGTGTCCCCCCCCCCCGTGTCTCTCTGTTTCCACCGTGTCTCTCTCTGTCTCCCGTGTCTCCCCGTGTCTCCCCGTGTCTCTCTCTCTGTCTCCCCCGTGTCTCTCTGTGTGTCTGTGTCTCTCTGTGTGTCTCCGTGTGTCTCCGTGTCTCTGTGTGTCTGTGTCTCTGTTTGTATGTCTCTGTCTCAGTGTCTCTCTCTGTGTGTCTCTGCGTGTCTCTGTCTCTCTGTGTCTCCCCGTGTCTCCGCGTGTCTCCCCCGTGTCTCCCCCGTGTCTCCCCCGTGTCTCTCTCTCTGTCTCCCCGTGTCTCTCAGTGTCTCTCTCTGTCTCCCCATGTCTCTCTCTGTCTCCCCCGTGTCTCCCCGCGTCTCCCCGTGTCTCCACGTGTCTCTCTCTGTCTCCCCGTGTCTCTCTGTCTCCACTGTCTCTCTCTGTCTCCGCCGTGTCTCCCCGTGTCTCCATGTGTCTCCCCGTGTCTCTCTCTGTCTCCACGTGTCTCCCCGTGTCTCTCTCTGTCTCCGCCGTGTCTCCCCGTGTCTCCATGTGTCTCCCCGTGTCTCTCTCTGTCTCCACGTGTCTCCCCGTGTCTCTCTCTGTCTCCCCCGTGTCTCCCCCGTGTCTCTCTGTCTCCACGTGTCTCTCTCTGTCTCCCCGTGTCTCCCTCTCTGTCTCCCCGTGTCTCTCTCTGTCTCCCCCGTGTCTCCCTCTGTCTCCCCGTGTCTCTCTGTCTCCCCGTGTCTCCCTCTCTGTCTCCCCGTGTCTCTCTCTGTCTCCCCCGGTGTCTCTCTCTCTGTCTCCCCTGTGTCTCCCTCTGTCTCCACGTGTCTCTCTCTGTCTCCCCGTGTCTCTCTCTGTCTCCCCCGTGTCTCCTCCGTGTCTCCACGTGTCTCTCTGTCTCCCCGTGTCTCTCTCTGTCTCCCCGTGTCTCTCTCTGTCTCCACGTGTCTCCCCGTGTCTCCCCCGTGTCTCCCCGTGTCTCCCCGTGTCTCTCTCTGTTTCCACCATGTCGCCCCGTGTCTCTCTCTGTCTCCCAGTGTCTCTCTCTGTCTCCCCCGTGTCTCTGTCTCCCCGTGTCTCCCCGTGTCTCTCTGTGCGTCTCTGTGTGTCTCTGTGCGTCTCTGTGTGTCTCTGTGTGTCTCTCTGTGTCTCTCTGTGTCTCTGTCTCTCTGTGTCTCTGTCTCTCTGCGTGTCTCTCTGTGTCTCTGTGTCTATCTATGTCTCTGTGTGTGTCTGTGTCTCTCTGTGTCTCTCTGTGTGTCTGTGTCTCTCTGTGTGTCTGTCTCTCTGTGTCTCAGCGTCTCTGTCTCAGCGTCTCTGTGTGTCTCTGTGCGTCTCTGTGCGTATCTGTGTGGCTGTGTCTCTCTGTCTCCGTGTCTCTCTCTATGTGTCTCCGTGTCTCTGTGTGTCTGTGTCTCTGTATCTGTGTCTCTGTCTCAGTGTCTCTCTCTGTGTGTCTCCGTGTGTCTCTCTGGGTCTCTGTGTGTCTGTGTCTCTGTGTGTATCTGTGTCTCTGTCTCAGTGTCTCTCTCTGTGTGTCTCTGTGTGCATCTCTGTCTGTGTCTCTGTCTCCATGCCTCTCTGTGTCTCTGTCTCTGTGTCTCTCTGTCTCCGTGTCTCTCTCTGTGTGTCTCTGTCTCAGCGTCTCTGTCTCAGCGTCTGTGTGTCGCTGTGTCTCTGTTTGTCTCTGTCTCTCTTTGTCTCTGTGTCTCTCCGTGACTCTGTATGTCTCTGTCTGTGTGTGTTTCTGTCTGTGTGTGTCTGCGTCTCTGTCTGTGTCTCTCTGTCTCAGCGTTTCTGTCTCAGCGTCTCTCTCTGTGTCTCTCTCTGTCTCCGTGTCTCTCTGTCTCTCTCTGTGTCTCTGTGTGTCTCTGTGTGTCTCTGTGTGTCTCTCTGTGTCTCTGTGTCTCTCTCTGTGTCTCTGTGTGTCTCTGTGTGTCTCTCTCTGTCTCTCTCTGTGTCTCTGTGTCTCTCTGTCTCTCTCTGTGTCTCTGTGTGTCTCTGTGTCTCTGTGTGTCTCTGTGTGTCTCTCTGTGTCTCTGTGTCTCTCTCTGTGTCTCTGTGTGTCTCTCTGTCTCTCTCTGTGTCTCTCTCTGTGTCTCTGTGTGTCTCTCTGTCTCTCTGTGTGTCTCTGTGTGTCTCTCTGTCTCTCTCTGTGTCGCTCTCTGTGTCTCTAACTGTGTCTCTGTGTGTCTCTGCGTGTCTCTCTGTCTCTCTCTGTGTCTCTGTGTCTCTCTCTGTGTCTCTGTGTGTCTCTCTCTGTGTGTCTATCTCTGTGTGTCTATCTCTGTGTCCCTCTCTGTTTCTGTGTGTCTCTGTGTGTCTCTGTCCCTCTCTGTCTCTGTGTGTCTCTCTGTCTCTCTGTGTCTCTGTGTGTCTCTCTGTCTCTCTCTGTATGTCTCTGTGTCTCTCTCTGTGTCCCTCTCTGTTTCTGTGTCTCTGTGTGTCTCTGTGTGTTCCTCTCTGTTTCTTTCAGCGTCTCTGTCTCAGCGTCTCTGTCTCAGCGTCTCTGTGTGTCTCTGTGCGTCTCTGTGCGTATCTGTGTGGCTGTGTCTCTCTGACTCGGTGTCTCTCTCTATGTGTCTCCGTGTCTCTGTGTGTCTGTGTCTCTGTTTGTATCTGTGTCTCTGTCTCAGTGTCTCTCTCTGTGTGTCTCTCTCTGCGTCTGTGTGTGTCTCTGCGTCTCTGTCTGTGTCTCTGTCTCTGTGTCTCTCTGTCTCCGTGTCTCTCTCTGTGTGTGTGTCTGTGTCTCTCTGTCTCAGCGTTTCTGTCTCAGTGTCTCTGTCTCAGCGTCTCCGTGTGTCTATGTGTGTCTCTCTGTCCCTGTGTGTCTATGTGTGTCTCTCTGTCTCTGTGTGTCTCTGTGTGTCTCTCTGTCTCTGTGTGTCTGTGTGTCTCTCTGTCTCTGTGTGTCTATGTGTGTCTCTCTGTCTCTGTGTGTCTATGTGTGTCTCTCTGTCTCTGTGCGTCTCTCTGTCTCTGTGTGTCTATGTGTGTCTCTCTGTCTCTGTGTGTCTATGTGTGTCTCTCTGTCTCTGTGTGTCTATGTGTGTCTCTGTGTGTCTCTCTGTCTCTGTGTGTCTCTCTGTCTCTGTGTGTCTATGTGTGTCTCTCTGTCTCTGTGTGTCATTGTGTGTCTCTCTGTCTCTGTGTGTCTCTCTGTCTCTGTGTGTCTATGTGTGTCTCTCTGTCTCTGTGTGTCTCTCTGTCTCTGTGTGTCTATGTGTGTCTCTGTGTGTCTCTCTGTCTCTGTGTCTCTCTGTCTCTGTGTGTCTCTGTCTCTGTGTGTCTGTGTGTGTCTCTGTCTCTGTGTGTCTGTGTGTGTGTGTGTCTCTCTGTCTCTGTGTGTCTGTGTGTGTCTCTCTGTCTCTGTGTGTCTATGTGTGTCTCTCTGTCTCTGTGTGTCTATGTGTGTCTCTGTGTGTCTCTCTGTCTGTGTGTCTATGTGTGTCTCTGTGTGTCTATGTGTGTCTCTCTCTGTGTGTCTCTGTGTGTCCTCTCTGTCTCTGTGTGTCTGTGTGTGTCTCTCTGTCTCTGTGTGTCTATATGTGTCTCTCTGTCTCTGTGTGTATCTGTGTCTCTGTGTGTCTCTCTGTGTGTCTCTCTGTCTCTGTGTCTCTCTGTCTCTGTGTGTCTCTGTCTCTGTGTGTCTGTGTGTGTCTCTGCCTCTGTGTGTCTGTGTGTGTGTGTGTGTGTCTCTCTGTCTCTGTGTGTCTGTGTGTGTCTCTCTGTCTCTGTGTGTCTATGTGTGTCTCTCTGTCTCTGTGTGTCTATGTGTGTCTCTGTGTGTCTCTCTGTCTGTGTGTCTATGTGTGTCTCTGTGTGTCTATGTGTGTCTCTCTCTGTGTGTCTCTGTGTGTCCTCTCTGTCTCTGTGTGTCTGTGTGTGTCTCTCTGTCTCTGTGTGTCTATGTGTGTCTCTCTGTCTCTGTGTGTCTATGTGTGTCTCTCTGTCTCTGTGTGTCTATGTGTGTCTCTGTGTGTCTCTCTGTCTCTGTGTGTCTGTGTGTCTCTCTGTCTCTGTGTGTCTATGTGTGTCTCTCTGTCTCTGTGTGTCTATGTGTGTCTCTCTGTCTCTGTGTGTCTCTCTGTCTCTGTGTGTCTATGTGTGTCTCTCTGTCTCTGTGTGTCTCTCTGTCTCTGTGTGTCTATGTGTGTCTCTGTGTGTCTCTCTGTCTCTGTGTCTCTCTGTCTCTGTGTGTCTCTGTCTCTGTGTGTCTGTGTGTGTCTCTGTCTCTGTGTGTCTGTGTGTGTGTGTGTCTCTCTGTCTCTGTGTGTCTGTGTGTGTCTCTCTGTCTCTGTGTGTCTATGTGTGTCTCTCTGTCTCTGTGTGTCTATGTGTGTCTCTGTGTGTCTCTCTGTCTGTGTGTCTCTGTGTGTCTCTCTGTCTGTGTGTCTGTGTGTGTCTCTCTGTCTCTGTGTGTCTATATGTGTCTCTCTGTCTCTGTGTGTATCTGTGTCTCTGTGTGTCTCTCTGTCTCTCTGTGTGTCTCTCTGTCTCTCTGTGTGTCTCTGTCTCAGTGTCTCTGTGTGTCTCCGTGTCTCTCTCTGTGTCTTTCTGTCTCAGCGTCTCTCTCTGTGTGTCTGTGTCTCTCTGTCTCAGTGTCTGTGTGTCTCTGTGTCTCTCTGTCTCAGCGTCTGTGTGTCTCTCTGTCTCTGTGCCTCTCTCTGTCTCCGTGTCTCTCTCTGTGTGTCTCTGTGTGTCTCTGTGTCTCTGTGTGTATCTGTGTCTCTTTCTCAGTGTCTCTCTCTGTGTCTATGTGTGTGTCTCTCTTTGCGTCTCTGTCTGTGTCTCTGTCTCAGTGTCTCTGTGTGTCTCTGTGTCTCTCTCTGTCTCAGCGTCTCTGTGTGTCTCTCTGTCTCTGTCTCTCTCTGTGTGTCTCTGTGTGTCTGTGTCTCTCTGTCTCAGCATCTCTGTCTCAGTGTCTGTGTGTCTCTGTGTGTCTCTGTCTCAGCGTCTCTGTCTCTCTCTGTCTCGCTGTCTCTCTCTGTCTCCGTGTCTCTCTCTGTGTGTCTCTGTGTCTCTCTGTCTCTGTGTCTCTGTCTCTGTGTCTCTCTGTCTCTCTGTGTGTGTCTCTGTGTGTGTCTGTGTCTCTCTGACTCAGCGTCTCTGTGTCTCTGTCTCTGTGTGTCTGTGTCTCTGTTTGTATGTCTCTGTCTCAGTGTCTCTCTCTCTCTGTCTCTGCGTGTCTCTGCGTGTCTCTGTGTCTCTCTCTGTGTCTCACTGTGTCGTTGTGTCTCTCTCTCTCTCTGTCTCTCTCTGTCTCTGTGTGTGTCTGTGTGTCTCTGTGTGTCTCTGTGTGTCTGTGTCTCTCTGTGTCTGTGTGTCTCTGTCTGTCACTGTCTGTGTCTCTCTGTGTCTCTCTCTGTCTCTGTGCCTCTCTCTGTGTCTCTCTCTCTGTGTGTCTGTGTCTCTCTGTCTCAGCGTCTCTCTCTATGTGTCTCCGTGTGTCTCTGTTTGTATATGTGTCTCTGTCTCAGTGTCTCTCTCTGTGTGTCTCTGCGTGTCTGTGTCTCTGTGTGTCTGTGTCTCTGTGTGTCTATATGTCTGTCTCAGTGTCTCTCTCTCTGTGCGTCTCTGCGTGTCTCTGTGTGTCTCTCTCTGTCTCACTGTGTCTTTGTGTGTCTCTCTCTGTCTCTGTGTGTCTCAGTGTGTCTCAGTGTTTCTGTGTCTCTCTCTGTGTCTCTCTCTGTGTCTCAATGTCTGTGTCTCTGCGTGTCTCTGTGTGTCTCTGTGTGTCTCTGTGTCTCTGTGTGTGTCTGTGTTTCTGTGTCTCTCTGTGTCTGTGTCTTTGTGTGTCTCTGCGTGTCTCTGCGTGTCCCTGCGTGTCCCTGTGTGTCTCTGTCTCTCTGTGTCTCTGTCTGTGTATCTCTGTCTGTGTGTCTCTCTCTCTGTGTGTCTCTGTCTCCGTGTCTCTGTCTCAGTGTCTCTGTCTCAGTGTCTCTGTGTGTCTCTCTGTGTCTCACTGTGTCTCTCTGTGTCTCAGTGTCTCTATATCTCTGTCTCCGTGTCTCTGTGTGTCTGTGTCTCCGTGTGTCTCTATCTGTGTCTCCGTGTGTCTCTATCTGTGTCTCAGTGTGTCTCCGTGTCTCTGTGTCTCTATGTCTCCGTGTGTCTCTGTGTCTCTGTGTGTCTCTATCTGTGTCTCAGTGTGTCTCAGTGTGTCTCCGTGTCTCTATGTATCTATGTCTCCGTGTCTCTGTGTTTGTGTGTGTGTCTGTGTTCCTGTGTCTCTGTGTGTCTCCGTGTGTCTCTGCTTGTCTCCGTGTCTCAGCGTGTCTCCGTGTGTCTCTGTGTCTCCGTGTGTCTCTCTGTGTCTCTGTGTCTCTGTGTCTCCGTGTTTGTGTGTGTGTCTGTGTTCCTGTGTCTCTGCGTGTCTCCGTGTGTCTCTGTGTCTCCATGTCTCTCCGTGTGTCTCAGCGTGTCTCAGCGTGTCTCTGTGTGTCTCTGTGTGTCCGTGTGTCTCTGTGTGTCTCCGTGTCTCAGCGTGTCTCCGTGTGTCTCTGTGTCTCAGCGTGTCTCCGTGTGTCTCCGTGTCTCAGCGTGTCTCCGTGTGTCTCCGTGTCTCAGCGTGTCTCCGTGTGTCTCAGCGTGTCTCCGTGTGTCTCTGTGTGTCCGTGTGTCTCTGTGTCTCCGTGTCTCAGCGTGTCTCAGCGTGTCTCCGTGTCTCAGCGTGTCTCTGTGTCTCCGCGTGTCTCAGCGTGTCTCTGTGTGTCTCTGTGTGTCCGTGTCTCTGTGTGTCTCCGTGTCTCAGCGTGTCTCCGTGTGTCTCTGTGTCTTAGCGTGTCTCAGCGTGTCTCCGTGTCTCAGCGTGTCTCAGCGTGTCTCCGTGTGTCTCTAGTGTCTCTGTGTGTCTCCGTGTCTCAGCATGTCTCCGTGTGTCTCCGTGTGTCTCAGCGTGTCTCAGCGTGTCTCAGCGTGTCTCCGCGTGTCTCCGTGTCTCTGCGTGTCTCTGTGTGTCTCCGCGTGTCTCAGCGTGTCTCCGTGTGTCTCAGTGTGTCTCAGCGTGTCTCAGCGTGTTTCCGCGTGTCTCAGCGTGTCTCCGCGTGTCTCCGTGTCTCTGCGTGTCTCTGTGTGTCTCCGCGTGTCTCAGCGTGTCTCCGTGTGTCTCAGTGTGTCTCAGCGTGTCTCAGCGTGTTTCCGCGTGTCTCAGTGTGTCTCAGCGTGTCTCTGTGTCTCCGTGTGTCTCTGTGTGTCTCCGTGTCTCAGCGTGTCTCCGTGTGTCTCAGCGTGTCTCAGCGTGTCTCTGTGTGTCTCTGTGTGTCTCAGCGTGTCTCAGCGTGTCTCTGTGTGTCTCTGTGTGTCTCTGTGTGTCTCCGTGTCTCAGCGTGTCTCCGTGTGTCTCCGTGTGTCTCAGTGTGTCTCAGCGTGTCTCAGCGTGTCTCCGTGTGTCTCCGTGTGTCTCTGTGTATCCGTGTCTCAGCGTGTCTCCGTGTGTCTCTGTGTGTCTCAGCGTGTCTCAGCGTGTCTACGTGTGTCTCTGTGTGTCTCAGCGTGTCTCAGCGTGTCTCTGTGTGTCTCTGTGTGTCTCCGTGTCTCAGCGTGTTTCCGCGTGTCTCAGTGTGTCTCAGCGTGTCTCTGTGTGTCTCTGTGTCTCCGTGTGTCTCCGTGTGTCTCTGTGTGTCTCCGTGTCTCCGTGTGTCTCTGTGTCTCTGTCTCACCATTCTCGCGGTCTCAGATTCCGGCTGCCCCGGAAGTTCTCCGCTGACCTCCGCCTCGCGACCCGCACCCTCCCCCCTATATATAGCTTCATAATTTATGTTAATGAGCGGAAAGCTATGTTAAATTATGTTAGTGAATGCGTATTTCGCCGAGCGGAGGGGCGGGGCCCGGACCACAAATATGAATAAATTAAATCGGCCTCACTTCCGGTGACTCGAAAAGGCGCGAAGCGGCTGTTCTGCCGCACGTCTCTTCCGGAAGATGTCTACCGTACCGTCAATAAAATAGAAACTCATCTTCCGGAAGATTGTTTGTTCCACATTGCATCTAATGGTAATTCTTCTTCTTCCGGAAGCAATCTACCAAAAAGTCAATAAAACTAAACAGCTTATCTTCCGGAAGAGATCTACCATCAAGGCAATAAAACGAACAGCTCATCTTCCGGAAGATCATTGCTATCTATCGCTTCCAACGGGATGCGATCTTCCGGAAGATCTCTACCGTCCCGTCGCTAAAACGGGGAACTCCTCTTCCGGAAGATCGTTTGTTCATTGCATCCAATGGGAGTTCATCTTCCGGAAGATAGCTACCATTCTAAAAATAAAAATCGAGAACTCATCTTCCGGACGATCGTTTGTTCTTCATTGTATTTCAATAGGTCAATTCATCTTCCGGAAGAGTGCTACCGTGCGCTGAATAAAACGACAGCTCATCTTCCGGAAGATAATTAATCTTGCGCTTCCAATGGGATGCGATCTTCCGGAAGATCTCTACCGTCCCGTCACTAAAACAGGGCAACCCCGCTTACAGAAGCACATTCCGGAAGATCTCTACCGTCCACCCAATAAAACAAACTACTCATCTTCCGGAAGACAAACCGTCCCCATCAGTTTCCAAGGGGATTCCCTCTTCCAGAAGATCTCTACCGTTCCGTCAATAAAACAGGAACTCCTCTTCTAGAAGATGATTCGTCTACTGCTTACCACGGGATAATCCTTCTTCCGGAAGATCTCTACCGTCCACCCAATAAAACAAACTACTCATCTTCCGGAAGACAAACCGTCCCCAACAGTTTCCAATGGGATTCCCTCTTCCAGAAGACGTCTACCGTCTCCCAATAAAACGACAATTAATCTTCCAGAAGAACATCGGGCCACATTGCTTCCAGTGGGATTTTCCATCTTCCGGAAGACGTCTACCGTCTCCCAATAAAACAACAATTAATCTTCCAGAAGATAATCGGGCCACTTTGCTTCCAGTGGGATTTTCCATCTTCCGGAAGACGTCTACCGTCTACCAATAAAACAACAATTAATCTTCCAGAAGATCATCGGGCCACATTGCTTCTAATGGGATTTTCCGTCTTCCGGAAGACGTCTACCGTCTCCGAATAAAACGACAATTAATCTTCCAGAAGATCATCGGGCCACATTGCTTCTAATGGAATTTTCCGTCTTCCGGAAGACGTCTACCGTCTCCCAATAAAACGACAATTAATCTTTCAGAAGATCATCGGGCCAGACTGCTTCCAATGGACATCCATCTTCCGGAAGACGTCTACCGTCTCCCAATAAAACCACAATTAATCTTCCAGAAGTTCATCTGGCCACTGCTTCTAATGAACATCCATCTTCCGGAAGACGTCTACCGTCTCCCAATAAAACAACAATTAATCTTCCAGAAGATCATCGGGCCACATTGCTTCCAATTAGATTTTCCATCTTCCGGAAGACGTCTACCGTCTCCCAATAAAACAACAATTAATCTTCCAGAAGATCATCGGGCCAGACTGCTTCCAATGGACATCCATCTTCCGGATGACGTCTACCGTCTCCCAATAAAACAACAATTAATCTTCCAGAAGATCATCGGGCCAGACTGCTTCCAATAGACATCCATCTTCCGGAAGATGTCTACCGTCTCCCAATAAAACAACAATTAATCTTCCAGAAGATCATCGGGCCACTTTGCTTTCAGTGGGTTTTCCATCTTCCGGAAGACGTCTACCGTCTCCCAATAAAACAACAATTAATCTTCCAGAAGATCATCGGGCCAGACTGCTTCCAATGGACATCAAATCTTCCGGAAGACGTCTACCGTCTTCCGGAAGACGTCTTCTGTCTCCCAATAAAACAACGTCGTACACAAAAAGTTGTAAATGTGAACTATTTTGGCCGTGTCGGGTGGTATAGGGTTGCGACACATTCATAAGGGGTCGTCCATAAATGACGTCACACGATTTTGGACGATTTTTGACCCCCCCCCCCCCACGTCACATGACGTCACAAAAAGTCAGACCCACTCCCTCAATTATAACGTCATAAAAATAACAATAAATATATCAAACAATACAATTATTATTATTCTTAGTTTTTTCGGTAAAGTCACGGTCATCATCAGGTGTGTCGGTTTGCAAACCGACACACCTGATGATGACCGTTTGAGTTATGGTCGAAACGTCGTGAGAATTTTTATTGTTTTATATATATTTTGTTATTTTGTTGTTTCTCTTCAACGTGACTTTACCGAAAAAACTAAGAATATGAATTACTGCAGTCACGAAAGCTTTAAATCAAAAAATACAATTATTGTAAAACAATAAAATTATTATTCTTGGTTCTTTGGGTAAAGTCACCACCACGTAGATAGGGAAACAATAAAATAACAATAAAAATATAAAACAATACAATTATTGTAAAACAATAAAATTATTATTCTTGGTTCTCTGGGTAAAGTCACCACCACGTAGATAGGTCCGTCACTATGTAGTCCAGCAGATGTTCTTGCTTGGACCCGGCATGCATCCATGATGTTGTGTGGATGCGCCGATGCCGGAACAGCGTGTTGGTAATTACAAGCCCATGGGCTGCACAAAAATCTAGCAGCCTCCTACCGTTGTTATTGAGCTGATCTGGCCCATGCCCTCCAATCACTCCAGGCCAGGTGCCAGCATCATGACCAACTCGGGCATTGAAGTCACCCAACAAGATGACTCTATCCCGAGGGGCCACTTTAGCCAGCACCTGTGCCAGGTCATAGAAGGCATCCGACTCTTCGGCCTTGCCTGCATCCCTCCACGGATGTTCATCTTCGGTGGGGGCATAAGTAACCACGACCACCACTCCTCGCCTCCGGTTGATGGGAAGGCGAGCCCAAAGTAGTCTGGGGCTTACAGCTTCCCACACCTCACCGCCACGCTCCCACGCCCCCTTCATTCTTTTGTTCAAACGAAGACCCACACCCTGTTGTTTGGCAGTCTGCTGCCCCGAGTAGAGGACTGTCCACCCCTCATGGTGGCAGGAGCCAGAGCCGGTCCACCGGACCTCCTGAATGCCACAGAGATCCAGGCGGTACCGGTCCAGCTCCCGACAGAGGAGTGGCAGCCTCTCCTCCGCAGTGAGCGTTCGAACATTCCACGTGGCCACCCGTAATGGCTTTTCGTTGCTTCTGGAGGAGCCCCGAGGGTAGAGATTCAATCTCCTGGCTCCGCCAATTGGAGTTTGGCCAGAAGACGTCATAGACGCCTGTCCCCCCGGGGCCTCCGGCACAAGCTTATTAATTACATTTTTTCGACGTGGCTTAGCGGTAATTAATTGAAGGTGGAGGGGTTACCAGCCCCTGTGGTGGTCACAAACGCTATGAGGGGAAAGGTCAATCGGAATTGGCCCTCCCCCCACAGGACTGTCAATGACAGTGTTGCCCGTCCGGCACCACTAGGAGGTAGGGGGTTGTTTTGCCCACACATTTATCCACCCACTCACACTCGCCCACACTACCCACACACCCATCCACCCACACTATCCACACACACTCATCTACCCACCCACACACTCCCCACACACACTCATCCACCTACCCAGACTACCCATCCACACACTCCCCCACACTACCAACACTCACCCACATCCACCTACCCACACACATCCACGCACACTCACCAACACCCACCCACACTCACCCGCACTACAACAACAACCGCCATTCGCCACTAAGTGGCGGTGACGTCACCACGACGCTTGTGCCAGGCTATGTGCACCCTGAGGCCACGTGAAGTGTCGAACGCCCGCTGGCAGGAGGTCACGGGGCAGACCCAGCAGGTGCCACGGGTCGACTGACTGAGATGACTGGCTGATGCACCACCTGTGCCCCCTACTGTGCCAACCCACTGTGCTTCAGCCACCCGGCGCTCCGCTCGTTGTTGTGAGCGTCGCTCCTCCGCCCTCCGTTGTTGTTGGAGGGCGACTGCCTCCAACTGCCCAGTAGCATCCTTCACGAGCCTCCTCCACAGAGGCCGATCTTGACACCGCTGGTACCAGTCATCGGCAAGTCCACTCAGTTCCACGTCCTCCTGTACCACATCACTCCATCTCTTCTCTAGCCCGTGCCGCGCCCGTTTAGCCCCCTCGATCCGGCCG